AGGCAGGCATAAACGCGTACTAGAAAATAAGCCTCAAACAGTTGCTGTGTACAAGAAAGTTGTACTGAAAAATATCTTCAACTTCAAGTGTCAGATCATCTAGTCATTACATCTGTAACCAAACATCTGTGTCTGTCACTCCCCGATTGAACTCCTAACAAGGCAGGCAGAAACGCGTACTAGAAAATAAGCCTCAGTCGCTATGTAAAAGAAAGTTGTACTGAAAAATATCTTCAACTTCAAGTGTCAGATCATCTAGTCATTACATCTGTAACCAAACATCTGTGTCTGTCACTCCCTGACTGCACTCCTAATGAGGCAGGCATAAACGCGTACTAGAAAATAAGTCTCAAACAGTTGCTGTGTACAAGAAAGTTGTACTGAAAAATATCTTCAACTTCAAGTGTCAGATCTAGTCATTACACATGTTACCAAACATCTGTGTCTGTCACTCCCTGATTCAACTCCTAACAAGGCAGGCAGAAAAGCATACTACAAAATAAGCCTCAAACAGTCACTGTGTGAAAAACATTATTCGTAGTGGACAAAAAACTTGAACTGTAAGCGTGAGAAGCATCTGGTCGTTACAGACATCTGTGTTTATGTTTTTTATGTTCACACAGACGCAACAAATTCAAAATTTCATGTTTCAGGAGAAAATTCTGAGCTCAGATTTTATGGAAGTCTGAGACTTTTTATTGTATCGTTGCTTCTTTGGTTTGAAACTGTCTATTATGTGCTTCATTTTGCCAAACAGAAGTTTACAAAGTATTTGCCACTTGTCAAAAGATACAATTTAAGGACAGTAATGCTATAATAACACTGTTCTGCTCTGAAAGCTTCACAAAAAGAACTTCCCAAACCAACAAAAGCGTCTCTAAGACTCTTCAAGGTGCTGAAAAGCTCATAAGCTGCCTAAAAGAGGTGATTCTTCCAGGGCAGGTAGATTTAATGGGATTGGTAAAGATTAGGTTACTGTAGCAGCAGCTAAGTATCAGACTTAAGCAGCGGACTGCAGCCATTCCTTTCACTAAATAGATGTTTTCTCATAATCCGGCTCTGAAGCCTAAATCTTCTCCTTGCTGTAAAAAGAAAATCTCAACGTTTGTTAGAAGGACCAGGAGGAAAAGACGGGACTGAAGCTTGGAGCTTTGTTCCCAGATGTTAGGAGAATTAAAGAAGACAGAGAAGAGTTCAGCTGTTTCCTACTTGTTTATGTACTGCATGATGTTGCCGGGCCACGCCAGCTGGACCTTCAGCTGCCCCCGATGCTCCACGAAGAAGTCCACCAGCGTTCTGGTGACCGTGGCCGACGTGTGGAAGAAAAACGCTGGGATCCAAAGAATGGCGCCGTCCAGTTTCTTCAGGCTCAGGAAGAAGTTGTTCCTGTCCTGAACGGTCAGTAAGTTATTGTAGTACTTCTCCAGGATGCTGGGGTTGAAGGTGGTCATGTTGGTGCGGCGCCCCACGTCCTTCCTGAAGATCTCCGTCGGAGCGAAGTTGCAGCGGAACACGTAGTCGTAGCGCTCGATGTGAGCGCCGCAGCGCGAGCCGGTCAGGATGCCGCTGTTGCCCACCACGGCGCAGACGTTGTAGCGCTTGTTGAGGATGGGCGAGGCCTCCGGGAGCAGCGAGCGGAAGTTCTCGCCGATGGAGTAGACGTATTTGTGGCTGGAGTAGTCGAAGTGCATGAGCTGTCCGACTCGCACCGAGTCTCTGGTCAGAGTGAAGTTGTTGGGGATGTCGATGTACTGAGATATCTCCTTCCTGCGGGACACGAGAACAGCTTCACTGAACGTTTTACAAAATCTCAGATCCAGACGTGGATTTTTAAAGTTTTTTTGTTCCATTATGCAAAGACAGTTTTACAAAAATCATAAAACCCATTTTTTAACTAATTTATTTCCATTAGAGCCAATTATAAACCGTTCATATCGGTTTGTTTATCCAGCATCTTTACAATGAGACGTTTGTTTCTACCTGCGTTTGTAGAAAAAAAGGTTCAATTTAGAAAAACACATCAAAACGTTTCATTTCTTATGCCTCACATTTTATCACAAATCAATAAATAAAAGAAAAACTCACTAAAATTCTAATTATTTGACTTTAAAATAAAAAGAGACGAACAAAAGAACCTCCTCTATCAGATAATTAACAAAGTATGACAGGTCATTGTGTCATATAATTCAAAAATGTCAGGCCACTGCATTATAAAATTAACAAAATGTAGCAGGCCATTGTATCATATGATTAAATAAATATGGCAGACCCTTGCATTATATAATTTTTAAAAATGGCAGGCCATTGTATCATGTAATTAACGAAGTATGACAGCCCATTGCATCATATAATTAAATAAATATGGCAGGCCCTTGCATTATATAATTTTTAAAAATGGCAGGACGTATCATTTAATTAACAAAGTATGGCAGGCCATTGTATTATATATTAAAAAATATAATTAATGACGCATGACAGTCCATTGTACCATATAACTAAAAAGTATGGCAGGCCCTTGAATTGTATAATTTAAAAAATGGCAAGCTGTTGTATCATATAATTAAATAACGTGGCAGGCCCTTGCATTATATAATAAAAAATGGCAGGACAATGTATCATATGATTAACAAAGTATGGCAGGCTGCTGTAGTATATATTTAAAAATATGGCAGGCTGTTGTGTCATATACTTAATGACGCATGACAGCCCTTTGTACCATATAACTAAAAAAGTATGGCTGGCCCTTGTGTTATATAATTTAAAAAATGTCAGGCTGTTGTATCATAGAATTGAATGAGTATGGCAGGTTGTTGTATCATTCAATGAAAAAATATAAAATATTATTTTTTTTCAGTTTCAAAAACTTTTTAACAAACTTTATGGCCTTAATTTAGCTTCAAACTATTTTGCCTCCAGTAGCAGCGAAGTGGAGACCTCCCACAGCTGATTCTTTTTTTGGGGCCATTTAAGATGTTAACGAGGGCCAGATTTGGCCTGCAGACCTTGAGTTTAAAATGTGGTTTGAAGAGAAACTTGTTTTTTATTTCTGTAACTGAAATGTGTTTTTAAGCGAACGTTGAATAATTTCCTGTTTTTTGACTGAGTGCTTCGTGTTAAAAAACTAAAACATTTTCACAGCTGCAGCCCGACTCACTGCAGGAAGTGCTAAAAGCCCGTTAGACCCTCAGAACCGCCAGGACCCAGTTCTGGAGCTCACGTCTGCGTACCTCAGCTGCGTAAAGGCYGAGCTGTTGTGTCTCCATCTGGAGGAGTTCTGCAGGTCCTCACTGAGCGCRTTGGTCAGAGGAGTGAAGTCCGGATCGAAGTACTTCATGGCCAGCTGGGAGCTGCGGGACAGGAAGTGACACGCAGATTTACTTCCTGTCAGCTGTCGGCCTTAAGCCACCTTTTTTCAAAATATACATTTATGGAAAATTCAATATTAGAAGCACAAAAATCAGGTGTTATAAAATGAAAACATTTAATCTGAAAGCTGTTTGAACAGAAAACAGTGTTTTTATGACAGAAATTAATCAAATTAGTTAAATTAAATGCATGTATTCACCTCAGGTCAGGTTTGCGAGGTGGCTTCTCTCTGCAGCAGAGGTTTGAAACAGAAACAAAAAGAACTCATTCTGGTCTTCATCATCATGAAACTGTGACACCATGTGGTCCTGCTGAGCAAACTTTAAACACTTTACATGCAGAATAAGAGGCGGAGACGATAGAATCTACATGGAGAAGCAGCTGAATGGAAGGAATAACCTGAGGTGATCTGTCAGCAGAACTCTACAGCTGGACTGAGCTGRTCCTGGGTCAAAATCCACCTGAAACCTTTTGTCTGTTTAATGACTCAGATCTTGATGCACATTCAGATACTTTAAACAGAGTCACGCCTATGTTCTCAAGAACTTATGTTCCCTATAGGTTCCTATGAGCCTATGTTCCCAAGAACATACGTTTATGTTTCCTGGTACATATGTTTCTACGAAACAAAGCTCCCAAGAACCTGTAGGTTTCCATAAACACATGTTCCCAATAAACCATGTTCCTGGTACCCGTGTTTCCAAAAACCCATGTTTCCTAGTATACTGTATATGTTCTCAAGAACATAAGTTTCCTGGTACCTGTCTCCCCATGAATCTAAGTTCCCAAGAACGTATGTTCCCAAGAACCTGTAGGTTTCCATAAACACATGTTCCCAATAAACCATGTTCCTGGTACCCGTGTTTCCAAAAACCCATGTTTCCTAGTATATATGT